TTATTATTATTTTGCTGCTTTCTTTCGTAAGCCACAGTTTAGCATTATGTTTGAACCGGAACAAAAATAGTTATGTACAAATCTGGAAAAGACAAGAACTTCAAATTGTTGTTTTTGAAAGGCAGTAAGAAACCTCAAAGCTTAAAAGGGTTTGTTCTCACACTGATAAACCATAGTTTATTGTTACAATTGTGTGGTTCTCTGGATCTGGCCTTGCCCTGGGCTGGAGTGTGGGGTAAAGAGAGGTATGGGAAACTGAAAAAGTAGGTTTTAAAAACTGCATGCAGTATTTGAAAGACTGACTAAGAGACATGTCTGCCAACTTTTCACTCATTTTCCTTCTGCAATTATTTTGATTTGAAGTAGGCAAATATCATACCACACAAAATGAAAATTTTGACTGACTGCTCTAACCTAGATAGCTCACATTTTGACAGTGCTGTTTTTATTACACCTACTTTCTGCTGATAATACTCTCTAAGCTATGGTACGTACGGTGGGGGTTTTTCACCTGACAGGAAATACGCAGGTGTATATAATGGAGGAGCATTGGGAGGAACGCCATAGGTGGAGCTGGTCTGAGGTGGAGGCTGGGTGTCATCAGATAAAGAGACATCAGTAGATGATGATGTTGGGAAATTGCTGGTAGGCTGTAGCAAGACAAAACAAAAACTTCCAGATACAGCACTATTGAAGTGCAGTGTACAAAGTAAAGTATGTACGTAATGTATAAAAATTAAATAATAAACCAGCATAGGCAGGTGCACAGATACACACTCATGCCCATCAACTTTTAACTCCTGCAAATGTGATTTGTCTGTCCTTCCCCCTCCCCCCCATGCATTGTATAAAGCCTACGGTATAGAGACTGTACATGTTAAACTATAGCGGCAATAAGCATTTTAGATACCTCACTGCATATGCAGACACATGCAGGAGAGAAGCTATTTCTTCTGACATTGAAAATCTATACAACACTGATCAGCAAATAACAGTTTTGAAAGAGATGACAATAGTCAGCTGGCACCAGATCAGAACAAAAAAAATCTCTCTCTCTCTCTGTCTTACATGCGCATACAGAGCACTTCTGTATTACAAATGTAACTGATTTACAGATAGAATAAAGCAACAAGGTAGAATTTGTGTACTGCACCTGAAGGGGCAAATGATAAGATGAGTAATGGGGAACAGCTGCTGCAGAAGGACAAAATCCAGCATATGTCAAAATCTGCTGGGTTGGATTGTAGAGAATCTGTGGTGGAGGAGCAGAGCTGAAGGTAGTACGGGAGGCTGGCACCTGTGGAACATAAAAGCTGAATGAATGAAGTAATTGGTTCCAAAGCCCAATGGTGATACCTATCAGATATATTTTCCACTGCAACATGGACAACACCTGCACAAGTTCATATCTATAAGAAGTGTTATTCAAATTGTGCATATGGGGAAATCAAGGCATTAAACTTTGTCCCCTTCTTTTACCACCAAAGATATTCAATTTAATTGGCTTCAAACCTGTTTTCCCTTTGTTTCCTACAAGGTCACAAACCTTTAGTTTAATAGGTGGTATGAACAGCAAGGCCACATTCCTCAATGCACTTTACTACATGTAGGGATATGAGTTCTTGGGTTCAGTGCTCTGGGCTAAATCCAATTGTTAGTCCCAGCTAGTGTAGATCCACTGAACTAGTGGGATTTATCCTGTATAAGTATTGACTTACAGCTCTGTAGTTGACTCCACAGGCCTATTCCCTAATTGAGGCCAGCAACTGGATTTAGACTCATAAAAAGGCACTTCTGACTCACCTGTAGCAAACAAGTCTGGCACAATCATCTGCCATGAATTTTTGAAACTATAATTTCTCTGCGCTATCGACAAGGCATCAGTGCATGCCTGATGAAGTGGACTTTGATCCATGAAAGCATGTAGATCGATTTTTATTAGTGGTCTAATAAAGGTGTGACTTGCTCCTGTATTGTAGTGTGTAAGAATCGCATGGCTCTTTTGAGTTTTTTGGTGGAAATAAGGTATCTCACACAAAGCTAAGCTGCTGAAACACTGCTGACATCAGAGAGTTTTAAGATTATCATTGTATACAGTTGCTGCCTTGGGTCATTTTTTTAGGATAAAAGTGAGATAAAAATATTTTAAATAAATAAATGATGAATAAATACAGCTTTACAGCTAAAGGTAGTGGTTTCTGAAGAAGGTTAATGTTATGGCGCCATGCAGTTGGACTGCCTTATTCATTTTCTGTGCTTCCTAGGTATTGTCCCTTTTATATATAACATTACCCTCTTCGCACATTTCATCTTCCTTGTTTACCTTGCGATTCCTGATAAGGAGGCGAGAGATAATTGAAACTTAAGGACTGGGCACACACTGCTGTTTGAAATCTAGTTATACCGGAATTGTGTGCAGCTTCAGTGTGCAATCCTAAGGATTTTAGGAATAATCTGGAGTGCAACTTAGGTCATGTTGTGTATTAAAATAAAAGAGAAAGTGAAGGGGCAAGGAATCCACCTACATGAGTCTACAACAGGTACCACAACAATAACATCTGAAAAGTTGGGGGGAAAAGTTAGATATATTGACAGCTTGGGACTAGAAAATGATGTCTCTCTCTCTCTCTCTCCCAACTCATTCCATGAGCCACATCTCCCTAAGAGAATAATAGAATAATGAAGCTGGAAGGGGCCTATAAGGCCATCGAATCCAATCCCCTGCTCAAGGCAGGAATACAGATCAAGGGATACCTGCCAGGTGGTTGCCTAAATTTCTCTTGAATGCCTCCAGTGTTGGAGCACTCGCCACTTCTCCAGGTAATTGGTTCCATTGCCGTGGTGCTCTAACACTTAGGAAGTTCTTCCTGATATTCCGCTGAAATTTGGCTTCCTGCAACTTGAACCCATTGTTGCATGTCCTGCACCCAGGGATGATTGAGAGAACAGATCCTGCTCCCCCTCTGCATGACAAGTTTTCAAGTACAGTATTTGAAAAGTGCTGTCATACATACAGACATTAACTAGTCAGATTGTTGGCAATAACACAAGCCATTTAATTGAGCTAAAGCAAGAGAAGAGTCAGGGGTTGTTTCCTGCTCCCTGAAAGCTATTAGAGAATATCTGCAATAATCTGCTTTTTAAAAACTTGCATATTGTCCTTCAATGTGAAATGAGTCATTAAAAATTGGAATTGTACATGCAGTTCTGCACTGGCACGCAGTTCATGATCTTCATGCTTCCCCATGCATCTAAACCTAGACTCTAGATCAGTGGTTCTTAACCTTTTTGAAAGAAACGCCCCCTTGAGCCATTGAGGAAGTTATCATCGCCCCCCTCCCCGCGGTGATGATTTCTTTCTTTCTTTCTTTCTTTCTTTCTTTCTTTCTTTCTTTCTTTCTTTCTTTCTTTCTTTCTTTCTTTCTTTCTTTCTTTATTTATT